GAGAAACCCTGTCTCTACCAAAAATAAAAAATTAGCCAAGTGTGGTAGCACACACCTGTAGTCCCAGCTATTTAGGAGGCTGAAGTGGGAGGATCACCTGAGACCAGGAGGTCGAGGCTGCAGTGAGTTGAGATTGCACCACTGCACTCCAGCCTGGACGACAGAGTGAGACCTGGTCTCAAAAACAACAAAAAAAACCCACAAAAAACAAAAACCAGTTTGTAAGAGGTGAATTTTGAGGGACACATTCAGACCACAGCATCACCGCTGAAGAGTCAGTGGGAAACAAAATGGAAACAGCATATTAGGGTAACTCTGAAGAAATGTGTCTGCGATGAAGCCAAAAGAGAAGGAGTCGGAGGTCCAGGGAGTGCAGACGGCATTTCAGTGCTCACAGGAGAGCGTCCATAGATGGCGAGAAGAGAGAAGGGGTTACAAAGCGTGAGTTCCTGAGGAGAGTGGGGCTGTCACTCGAGGAAAGGTGCTCCCTGCGGGGAAAGGACAAAGGAGTTGGGCGGCGACAGGGGGTCCACTGTCCTCACAGCAGGAAACGGAAGGAGGTTCCCTCAGGGCTCTTTGCCTCCCGGAAGTACAAGGCGCCTCCATCTTCAGAGCACGAAGGGTGCGGGGTGGGGCAGGAGACCTGAGGGAGTCGAGGTTTTGCACCCGATGAGGAGACGCACAGAGGGAACGGGTGGGAACACAGGACCCCTGCAGCCTCAGGAGGATCAGCTGCGGCCTGGTTTGCTCGTGTTGTCATTCGTGGTGGGCACCTTGTCCTCGGGGCCGGCCAGTTACTCGGCTTCCAGGCCCGTCATCCTGCCGGAAGCATCCCCAGCTTGGGGATGTTGGAGGGGCCCTGGCCCCACCTGGTTGGGGATGGAGTGTGTGAGCTGCCCTGGGCTGAATCTGGGTACGGGGAGGAGAGGGGACTTACAGGAGAGAGGGACGGTGAACTTGGTTTTGTGTGACTGTCTAGAGTGACAGTGACAAAGGACTGTATTTGAAATATTAAATTTCCTTCTCTCGCCAAGAATTCATTGTACCTGCCTGGCCCCTGGAGCTGACTGAGTTTGCAATCGTTGATGTGATGGACTGAACGTTTGTGTCCCCCCAAAATTCATATGCTGAAGCCCTGACTCACGATGTGCTAGTATTTGGAAGCAGGACCTTTGGAGGTGATGAGGGTTAGATCAAGTCATGAGGGTGTGGTGCCCATGATGGGATTAGTGCCCATATAGGAAGAGGAAGACAGCAATCTACACACACACACCGTCCCTTTCCCTCCTTGCACAAGCCAAGGAGATGCCATGTGAAGGTGCAGGGAGGAGTCAGGCCGTCTAAAAGCAAAGAAAGAGATTTCATCAGACACTGCATCTGCCGACACCTTGATCTTGGACTTCCAGCCTCCAAAACCGTGAGAAATAAGGGTCTGTGTCTAACCTCCAACCCTACCACCCCACCTCCCCTGTGTGGTATTTTGTGACGGCAGCCCCAGCTGACTGAGACACCTGGTTAGACCGGAATAAGCTAGTGAGGAGTACTGGGGGAGGCATGAGAGAAGAAACTAACCTGGGCCAGATGGCTGGGGGAGGGGAGTCTGCCTTGCTAAATATTGTGCATTTTAACCCAAAGGCCATGACAAGCCACTGAAGGCAGGGTGTGCCACAAACTTGGGGAGCCCCAGAGCCCTTGGAAAAGAAAAGAATGTCATTTGTGGAGAAAAGGGGGCCCCCCACTTTTCAAAGATCATCTGACCTTTATAAAAGAATAGGTCCTTTGGTTCTTACTGTTAGAGCTCAGTAATCGAAGGTGGTTCCTTGAATTCATAAAAGCCCTTTTCTGAATCCAGCAGTACCTGAGTCCCTTAAGAGTGGCCAAAGAAGAAAGAATCTACTGAGTTGATATTCCAGTTCAGTAAGTTGTAGGGACATTGTTTTGAAATTATCTGTAGGCAAGGGAGCCCCAACCCATAACTCACCTCAAGCCCAGTCCCTTCCAGAACCTTTGCCTGTCCGCGAGCAGTGATGGATTGATTATTGCAAATGTTGTTTAGTTTCATTTGACCTACTTTGCAAAATCAAGTTTCAATATATGGGTAACTGTGGGAGCTAAGGCCACGGCATTTGGTCTCTCTGAATATCCTTTCTACCTACCAGGTTGCAATTGGTAGTAATCACCATTGAATATACTTGAAGCAATTCTTCCAGAATTACTTTGCATCAAAGACTGCACAAGAACTGCTCTAAGTGGGAGGACTGATGTTGGCAACCAGGGTTCCACTAGGGGCTGCAGACAGCCCTTGACCTTCAGGTGGGAAGGTGTCACTGAGTTCAGACACTCTGGCAATCCCTAGCAATCAACATACTGTTAAGAAATAAGCGGAAAGGTGAAATTAGACAAAGACATTATTACCTTAGAGAACAATTAAGCATTGGTGGCTAATCTAAATATACCCTTACAATTTTTGTTTTGCTACTAGCTATGATTTATTGTAGGCTTGTCCATCTGTGCCAGGCACTAACAGCACTATGAATTGCCTATACCGTGCTACAATCACCAGATTTTTCTCTATTCTTATTACCACTTATAGATCAGGACATTGAAACTCATTTGCCCAAAGTATGACAATGGAAATTGGCAGAGCCAGGTTCTAACCCAAATATCTAGGTCTTAAGTGATTACTTTTAACCACTGCACTGCAATTTACAATGGGGAGGAGGAATAATAATAATAATATCTATACTTGATTGATTGATGCCTATATACTAGGCACTTAACTAAGTTATTTTTTAAATGTTTCATTTCATTTGTAATTGACACATAGCAATTGTACATATTTATGGGGTTCAGTGTGATGTTTCAGTGCATGGATACATTGTATAATGATCAATTAGAGTAATCAGCATATCTATCACTTTAAACATTCATCCTTTCTTTGTGGTGAGAAAATAAAAATCCTCTCTTCTGGTTATTTTGAAATATACAATATATTATTATTAGCTATAGTCACCCTAGTTCGTAATAGAACACCAGAACTTAATCTTTCTGTCCAGCTGGAATTTTGAAACCATGGACCAACCTCTCTTCTCTCCCCAACTACCTTCCTCAGCCTCTGGTAACCACTATTCTACTCTAATTATATGAGATCAAGCTTTCAAAAAAATTTTAATCAACAAATAATAATTGTGCATCTTCATAAGGTACATAAGATGTTTCAAAACATATAATGTATAGTGATCAAATCAGGGTAATTAGCATATATGTCATTTCAACTGTTTATCGTTTATTATATATTTGTGTTGGGAACATTGAACGTCCTCCTTTTAGCTATTTGAAACTATTCACTACATTATTGTTGACATCCTACAGTGGTATAGAATGCTAGAACATATTCCTTTTTACAAACTGTAATTTTGTAGCCTTTAACAACTCTCTCCCTATCCCTCCCTTCCTGGGACCCTTCTCAGCCTCTAGTATCCTGTTTACTTTTTACTTCTTGAGATCAACTTCTTTTAGCTGCCATATATGAGTGAGAACATGCAGTGCTAAACTTTCTGTTCCTGGCTTATTTAACATAATGTCCTCTAACTTCACCCATGTTACTGTGAATGACAAGATTCCATTGTTTTTTATGGCTGAATAGTATTCCATGATATGTGTGTACCACATTTTCTTTATCCATTCATGGGTGGTCAGACAACTAGGTTGATTCCATGTCTTGGTTATTGTGAACAGAGCTGCAATAAACCTGGGGCTGCGGATGACTCTTTGATATGATTTCCATTCTGTTGGATAAACGCCCAGTAGTAAGATTGTTGGATCATATGGTACTTCTATTTGTAGTTTTTTGAGGAACCTCCATATTGTTCTCCAGAGAGATTGTACTAGTTTAAATTCCCACCAACTGTGTAGAAAAGTTCCCCTTTCCTCTGCATCCTCACCAGCATGTGTTATTTTTTGTCTTTCTGATAATAGCCATCCTAACTGGGGTGAACTAACACCTCATAGTGGTTTTGATTTCCGTTTCCCTGAGGATTAGTGATATTGAGCACATTTTCATATATTTGTTGGGCATTTGTATGCCCTCTTTTGAGAAATGTCTGCTCAGATCATTTGCCCATATTTTAATTGCATTGGTTTTTTGCTGTTGAGATGTTTGACTTCCTTGTATATTCTGGGTACTAGTCCCCTGTCCAATTAGTAGTTTACAAAACACTAGGCACCATACCAGGTTCTTTACACAAGTTATTTCATTTACTCCTCACTCCAGCCCTATGAGGGAGGTGCTGTTACTACCATTCTCAACTTACTAATGGAGAGTTCAGCAGAGGTTCATAGCTTCCCCAAAGTCACACAGTTTCTGTGGCAGATGGAGCAGGGTTGGATGCCAGAGCCAGGCCCTCCAGCCCTATGCCTCACTGCTGCAGGAGCCTGCTCATCTGCAGTCGCTGCCACAGGCATCAATGGTAGTACCCAGAATAAGCATTTATCGAGCACCTACTGTATTCACAGAACTCTGATCAGTCTGAAAGTCCAAGCAATGAAACAAACAAAGCCAAGGAATGGTAGAAATCGCAGAGTTCAAACCAGAGTCTAGGACCTGAAGTGCACTGCATGGGCCAGGTTAAACTGAATGAAACATTCCTATTTTGATCCCTTTCATTATTTGTTGTCCATACCCATGAATACTTTTATCAGTTTAGATGCGAAGTCAAAAACAAATAGGCAAGGAATCAGCTCTTGCAACATTCTCTTCTCCTGAAAAAGGTTCTTTGAAAGTCCTGTTTTGCAGAGACTCAGTCCTTTTGCATGATGGGTAAATCGTAGGAGACCTCTGCTAGGTCCTTATATTACATACCTAATGTGGAAAGGTTGCTTCATCCAAAAGCCTGGAGTTTTCAGAGACACTGTCCTCAAACTTCCCCCATTGGACAATACCAGCGCCTGCAGGCAACAGCTCTGACGCACTTAAGACTTAAATACAACCCACAGAAGTGCTGGCTTGGCTGGGAAAACCTATTGCTAAGCAGAAGAGCAACATTGTTTTTTTTTTTTTTTCTTTTCTGGAATTTGTAAACAGCATTTATTCTCAGCCTTGCCTTTGAAATGTTCCAGTTGGAACATTGCTGGGCAGCGTGCAAACAGGAGCGAACGTCAGCCGGGGCGGCAGGGGGCAGCAGACCCCACACTTTGTCCATGCCTCAGGTGGGAGGGAGTGTCCGGCTCCAGAAACCTGCCGCGGGCTTTATCCCAAGCGACTTCAGCCAGCAGACGGTTCATGTCCTGAGGCTGCAAAATACGAGGTGGTAGTAGTGGGGAGCGTGAGGCTGAGAGTGGGGAGAGCAACACAGGGGCGCCAGGGTGGGAGCCGCAGCAGGCCCGTGACCGCCCGGAGGACACTGATGCTTCTGGAGCGCGCGCGAGGGTCCAAGGCGGGGCCGGACCGAGGCCGCCTGCGCTCCGCGGAGGCGCGGTCTGAGGGACATGAAGCGGTGGCAAGGGACAGCAGGCGGGGGCGCCGACGCGGGGCGCGGGAACGGGGCGGAGACATGGACGGGGCGCGGGTGGGCGGACTCCCTCCCGCAGGGCTGGGGTGGTCAGGCCAAGGCCGCTGGGAAAGGGAGGACGCTCGCCCCTGCGCTGCCAGCTGGGCTCTTCTCCTTCCTTGCCCGCCCTGTGTTCCAGGGCGCGACCCCGCTCTCTCCAGACGCTGGCTCCCGGACTGACCCTCAGGTAGGTGGGTCGGAGCCCCTGAGAGAAGTGGGGTTTGAGGGAGGGCATTTCCGTTTCCAAGAGCAGGCACCGGGAGCCCGGATGCTCCAGCTGCTGGACCCTGGATTAGAAACTGGCAGGAGTAGGAGATGTTTTGCAGGAGGCTGCCCTCTGCCTTCCTCTGTTCTGACATCTGCTGGACTCAGGGAGTCTTAGCACCTATATTTTTGACCAGAAAAAAAATTCGAACAGCAGAAAAGCCAATGTGATGGGTTACGCCTTCTTAACGTGCCTCATTCAGCGTTGTTAGTTCCTTCCACATACTGATGTTTTTCGTGCAATTGATGTGATCCTATGTCAGCTATACAAAACAATTTTTGTTTACTGAATTTAGTTTAAAAGGCAAGAAGTTACTTTCCATAGGGCACATTGATCTCCGGTGGAAAGGGATGTGTATGCCCTGAAACATGAAACATGGAGAGTCACATGCGCTGCTTGGTTTTGTGTAGAAGTAACAGGAGATGATCTTTTCACTGATTTTCAGAATTGTGGAGAATTCACTTAGGAAAATAAGTATGTGTATCAATGGATGACTAATATGGGCATTTACTTTAACTGATTTCACTGAAGCAGTGCTCCTAATATTTTGAGACACCGTTTTTATTTGGTTCCTTTTTACCACATGATCAATTAGCTTCTTACTTCATAAGTAAGAAGGTACTTCCTACCATAAGAGGGAAGGTACTTCCTATTTTCTCTTTAAATTTCTTGTCCCTTATTTAAAGAGGCACTAGGCCTGGTGCGGTGGCTCAGTCCTGTAATCCCAGCACTTTGGGAGGCCAAGGTGGGCAGTTTGCCTGAGGCAGGAGAATCGCTTGAATCTGGGAGGTGAAGGTTGCAGTGAGTGCCACTGCACTCCAGCCTGGGCAACAAGAGCGAGACTTCATCTTAGAAAAAAAAAAAAAATTAGTCCTCAAGTCTCTGGCTAAATACAAAGCCGTGTATGCACAGGGAGGGGTTCCACAAAGAAAGAAGAATAAGGAACAGCTACTGGGGAAAGAACAACTGCAGCGGAACAGTGAGCTCAATGGAGATGTCAGAGCTCACATAGCACTTTCAGACTCTTTTCAGTGTATATTTTATGCTGAGATTTTTTAAATGAAATACTTTATGTGGACAGGGAAAATTGGTACCGAAGGGAAACTTTAACAGTGAGGAAGAAACTTTCTATAAAGAGGACAAGGGACAATATACACAAAAGTCTGTGCTAAGTGTAAAATGAGCATATTCATCCTTAAAGCACATCAGAATTGAATACGAGTATTTATTCATTTCATTCACTGAATGAATTATTCATTCGTTGAATCAATGAAATAAACACAGCTCTTTGAGGATTTGAGACTACATTCACCCTTTATTCATAGTCACCTGCGGTTTTGCTTTTCTTTGCATTTCTTTGCTGTTAGATGACTGCTGCATTGTTGAGTTGTATTTTGAGTGGATATTTTTGTTTGGTAATAGTGAAAATTTTAAATTGTAAAAAATGTATATTTATCCTTTCTCTCCCTTCTAATTACGTGTCACTGTAAAACATCATTCCCATGTGACAGTGTGTGCTGTAGACTGTTTAAAAATTGGGCAGCCAATTAGCAATGAGAAACAAGTGGTCCACCTTCAATATTTGCTTGTGGTTTATTTACATGCTCTTGGCACCAGTCCTAGACTCACATGTGCCCCAGAATAACATTCAGACTCTCAGCTGGTCTTCTGTTACACGTCCATGGCCCAGTTCACTCCATGATATACACCTCTCTGCTCTGTGTCCCCTGGGCTGGGCTCAAGTCAAGCAGTCAGTGACAGACTTCATTCCTAATAACAGAACCAGTTTGCATGACTCCCCATACATGTTGCAGCTTTGAAAACATTCATCTCAATGTTCACACTTTCATTTGGTATCAAGTGTTTTACTGGATTCTTACAACCATGGTGTAGTAACATTCACTGAGGAGGAAGTGGAGGATCCAAGGATGGGGCAAGTTGCTCTGGGCACACAACAGGTTTGCAATTTTACAGCCTCTTGGTGGCGTCTCAGTCAGACATTCTGTGCACTGATCAATACCCTATTCAGTTAATGTAAAAGGATGCACTCAGCATGAGATTCAAGTTGTGCACAGAATATACTTGAGAAGTGTGCCTTTGTCATCCCTACTTTCAAAGGTGAAGGCCACCAGCAGTTTCTTGTATGCAACTGATGCCTTTCAAATGAAACCTTATATCTGTGTAGTCCATAGGCAACCACAGGCAAATGTGAGGGTGAAACGCTGTGTTCTATGTTGCTCTGTGTCAGTGAAGCAAGGCAGTGCTAGCTCAGAGGGCTCTGGGGCCTCAAGGAAGGGATGCCTGGTTGTGGGTATTGCAACTTCCAGCAGAGCAGTCAAACATAACTGCTGATGCTTTTCTTTCAGTTCTGCCATCATCGCTGACAAAGTAATCCCAGCTTGTCTGCCATCCCCAAATTATGTGGTCACCAACCAGACTGAATGTTATGTCACTGACTGGGGAGAAACCCAAGGTGAGATAAATTCCATTGCCCACATAACGAATTGGTTTTGACCTACAGTCCATGTGACAAAATGATCATTTCAGAGAAAGCTGTGCAAATTCCTATCCATGAATGTGGTCCACTCACTCCTGATTTTGTCTGGGCACCTGTCTATTTCTGCATAATGGGTCTTCAAGGCACATGGTCAAGGGGTGGAAGACTGTTTCTTTGAGTCTCTCTCTCTTTTTTTTTTTTTCAGAACCTGTTTTTCTATTTTAATTATTATTTTAACTTTTTTTTTTTTTAGTTCAGGGTTACATGTGCAGGTTTTTTGCATAAGTAAAGTTGTGTCTCAGGGGTTAGTTGTACAGATTATTTTGTCACCTAGGTACTAAGCCTAGTACCCAATACTTAGTATTTCCTGCTCCTCTCTCTCCTCCCACTCTTTTCCCTCAAGTAGGCCCCAGTGCCTGTTGCTCCCCTTTTTGTGTCCATGAGTTCTCATCATTTACCTCCCACTTATAAGTGTGAACATGTAGTATTTACTTTTCTGTTCCTGTGTTACTTTTCTAAGAATAATGGCCTCTAGCTCCATTCATGTTCCTGTAAAAGACATTATCTCATTGTTTTTTATGACTACATAGTATTTCATGGTGTATATGTACTACATTTTCTTTATCCAATCTGTCATTGATAGGCATATAGGTGATTCCAAGTCTTTGCTATTATGATTAGTGCTGCAATGAACATTCACATTCATGTGACTTTATGGTAGGGTAATTTATATTCCTCTGGGTATATACCTGGTAATAGGATTGCTGGGTTGAACGTTAGGTCTGTTTTTAGCTCTTTGAGGAATCACTGGACTGCTTTCTACAATGGTTGGACTAATTTACAGTCCCAACCACAGTGCATAAGTGTCCCCTTTTCTCTACAACCATTCTGGCTGGCATGAGATGGTTTCTCGTTGTGGTTTTGATTTGCATTTCTCTAACTATCGGTGATACTGAGCATTTTTCATATGCTTGTTGGCTGCCTGTATGTTTTCTTTAGAAAAGTGTTTGTTCATGTCTCTTGTCTACTTTTTAATGGAGTTGGTTTATTTCTTGTAAATTTGTTTAAGTTTCTTATCGATGCTGGATATTAGACCTTGATTTTTGTCAGCTTTGTCAAAGATCAAATGGTTGTAGGTTTGGCCTTATTTCTGGGCTCTCTATTCTGTCCCATTGGTCTATGTGTCTGTGTTTTTAAATTTTTAAAAATTATTTTTATTTTTTTATCAGTACCATGCTGTTTTGGTTACTATAGCCCTGATGTGTAGTTTGAAGACAGGTAATGTGATGCCTCTACCTTTCTTCTTTTTGTTAAGATTGCCTTGGCTATTCTGGCCCCTTTTTCATTCTATATAAATTTTAAAATAGTTTTTTAATAGTGCTGTGAAGAATGTCATTGGCAGTTGGATAGGAATAGCAATGAATCTGTAAATTACTTTGGGCAGTATGGCCATTTTATTTATATTGATTCTTCCAATCCATCAGCATGGGATGTTTTTCCATTCGCTTGTTTCTTTGAGCAGTGTTTTGTAATTCTCATTGTAGAGATCTATCACCACCCTGGTTGGCTGTATTCTTAGGTATTTTATTTTTTGTGGCAATTGTGAATAGGATTGTGTTCCTGATTTGGCTCTCAGCTTGGCTGTTGGTGTATAGGGATGCCAGTGATTTTTATATTTTGATTTTGTATCCTGAAACTTTGCTGAAGTTGATTATCAGAGAAGGAGCTTTTGGGCTGAGACTTTGGGGTTTTCTAGATATAGAATCATGGCATCTGCAAACAGGGATGGTTTGATTTCCTCTCTTCCTGTGTGGATGCTCTTTATTTCTTTCCCTTGATTGATTGCTCTGACCAGGACTTCCAATACTACGTTGAACAGGACTGGTGAGAGAGGGCATCCTTACCTTGTGCCAGTTTTCAAGGGGAATGCTTCCAGCTTTTGCCCATTTGGTATATTGTTGGCTGTGGGCTTGTCATAGATGTCTCTTATTATTTTGAGACATATTCCTTCAATACCTAGTTTATTGAGAGTTTTCAACATGAAGGGTGGTACATTTTATCAAAAGCCTTTTCTGCATCTATTGAGATAATAATGTGGGTTTTGTCTTTAGTCATATTTATGTGATGAATCACATTTTTTGATTTACATATGTTGAACCAATCTTGCATCCCAGGGATGAAGCCTAATTGATCATGATGGATTAGCTTTTTGATGTGCTGCTGGATTAGGTTTGCAAGTATTTTGTTGAGGATTTTTGCATCAATGTTCATCGAGGATATTGACCTGAAGTTTTTATTATTGTTGTGTCTCTGCCAGGTTTTGGTATCGGGATGATGCTGGCCTCATAGAATAAAATGGGAAGCAGTCCCTCCTCCTCAATTTTTTTTTTTTGATGTTTCAGTAAGAATAGTACTCACTTTTCTTTGCACATCTGGTAGAATTCAGCTGTGAATCTATCCCATCCTGGCCTTTTGTTTCTTAGTAGGCTATTCATTACTGATTCAGTTTTGGAGCTCATTATTGGTCTGTTTAAAGAATCAGTTTCTTCCTGGTTCAGTCTTGGGAGGGTGTATGTGTCCAGCAATTTATCCATCTCTTCTAGGTTTTCTAGTTTGTGTGCATAGAGCTGTCTGTAGTAGTTTCTGATGGTTATGTTTTATTTTTGTAGGGTCAGTGCTAACATCCCCCTTGTCATCTGTAATTGAGTTAATTTAGGTCTTCTCTCTCTTTTCTTCTTTGTTAGCCAGGTAGCAGCCTATCTATCTTATTAATGTTTTCTAAAAACCAACTCCTGGATTTGCCGATCTTTTGAATGTTTTTTCATGTCTTGACTTTCTTCAATTCAACTCTGATTTTGGTTTTCCTTGCTTGCTGCTAGTTTTGAGGTTGATTTGGTCTTGTTTCTCTAATTCTTCAAGTTGTGACGTTAGGTTCTTACTTTGGGATCTTTCTTTTTGATGTGAGTGTTTAGTGCTATGAATTTGCCTCTTAACACTACCTTAGCTGTGTCCCAGAGATTCCAGTATGTTATTTCTTAATTCTCTTTAGTTTCAAAGAACTTCTTGATTTCTGCCTTGATTTTATTATTTACGCCAAAGTGATTCAGGAGCATGTTGTTTAATTCTCATGTAATTGTATGGTTCTGAGCAATTTGCTTAGTCTTGGCTTCTATTTTTATTGAGCTGTGATCTGAGGATGTTTTTGGTATAATTTTGGTTCTTTTGCATTTGCTGAGGATTGTTTTATGTCCAATTATGTGGTTGATTTTTAGAGAATGTGCTATATGATTATGAGAATAATATATATTCTACTGTTGATAGAGAGTTCTGTGGAGGTCTGTCAGATCCATTTGGTCCAATGTTGAGTTCAGGTCCCGAATATTTTTGTACATTTTCTGCCTTGATGATCTGTCTAATACAGTCAGTGGACTGCTGAAGTCTCCCACTATTATTGTGTGGACATCTAAGTCTCTTTGTAGGTCTCTAAGAACTTTCTTTATGAAGCTGGGTGCTCCTGTGTTGGATGCATATATATTTAGGATAGTTGGTCTTCTTGTTGAATTGAACCCTTTACCATTATGTAATTTTCTTGTCTTTTTTGGTCTTTGTTGGTTTAAAGTCTGTTTTGTCTGAAATTAGGATTGCAATCCCTGCTTTTTTTCTGATTTCCATTTGCTTGCCCTTTATTTTGAACCTTTGGGTGTCAGTACATGTGAGATGGGTATCTTGAAGACAGCATATAATTAATTGGGTCTTGCTTTTTTTAATCAAGCTTGCCACTCTGTGCCTCTTAAGTTGGGCATTTAGCCCATTTACATTCAAGGCTATTATTGGTATGTGTGAATTTGATGCTCTCATTGTGTTTTTATGCTGGCTTGTTTGTGTGGTGGCTTTATAGTGTCAGTGGTTTGTGAATTTAAGTGTATTTTTGTACTGGCGAATAGCCATCTTTCCTTTCTATAGTTAGTGCTCTTTTCAAGATCTCTTGTAAGGCAGGTCTGGTGGTAACAAACTCCCTCAACATTTGCTTATTTAAAAGGGATCTTATTTCTCTGTTGCTTAGGAAGCTTAGTCTGGTTAGATATGAAATTCTAGACTGAATATATATATATTTTAAAATGTTGAATATAGGTCCACAATCTCTTCTGGCTTGTAGGGGTTCAGCTGAGAGGTATGCTGTTAGGTTGATGGGGTTCCCTTTGTAGATGACCTGCCCTTTCTCTCTAGTTGCCTTTAACATTCTGTCTTTCATTTTGACCTTGGAAAAGCTGATGATTATGTGTCTTGGGATGATCTTCTTATGCAGAATCTGGCAGGGATTCTCTGTATTTTCTGAATTTGACTATTGGCCTCTCTAGCAAGATTGGGGAAGTTTTCATGGATAGTATCCTAAATTGTTTTCCAAATTGTTAGCTTTCTCCCCATCCCATTCAGAGATGCCAATGATTTGTAGATTTGGCCTTTTTCATAATCCCATATTTCTTGTAGGTTTTTTTCATTCCTTTTCATTCTTTTTTCTTCATTTTTGTCAACTATCTGATTTCAGAGAGCTAGTCTTCCATTTCTGAGATCCTTTCCTCAGCTTGGTCTATTCTGCTATTAATACTTGGATTGCTTTGTGAAATTCTTATAGTTTGTTTCTCAGCTCTCAGCTCTGTCAGATCCATTAGGTCCTTTTTTATACCAGCAAGTTAATCTTTCAGCTTCTGTATTATTTTATTGGGATTTTTAATTTCCTTGGATTGGATTTTGCCATTGTGCTAAATCTTGATGATCTTCATTTGTATCCATAGTCTGAATTATATTTCTATCATTTCAGTTAGCTCAGTTTTGTTAAGAACCCTTGTTGGAGAACTGGTGCAGTTGTTTGGAGGACATATGACCTGGTCATTTGATTTATTGGAGTTCTTGCATTGGTTCCTTCTCATGTCTCTGTGTGGGTGTTTCTTTAACTGCAGTGTAGATTGAGTACAGCA